CAAAATCTCCAGGCAGCAGTCGGTGGCCTTTAAAGTCTTTGTCTCCTGGGAGCTTGCAGTGAATGGAAGTGGTCACCTACTTGGCATTTTCTTGAAGTGACTTTATCAAATCTTGGCAGTCGTGTCTCCTCTCAACAATGTCAGCTCCTAAGTTCCTTCATCTAATTTAAGTCCAGCCTCAGTGCACGGTGATGCATGAAGGAATGCAAAAATGGGGTTCACCAGGGAGCTGGAAAGAAGCTAGCAGCTGTCTTGGGTTCCTCATAACACTGACTACTCATTTTTATCACTTATTTTACAATGCTTCCCATGCAATTTAACATTAAAAAAAACAAAACAAATCTTTTGAGGTGTTCCAGGGGTCCTTCTGGAGTACCACAAAGTGATTCCTACACTTGTGAGATTTTTAATTGTTAAAAACCTCAATTTCTACTGAAAATTAGTAATCAAATTTATAAAGACATTTTAAAACCTCTAGAAACATATTTCATAGATGTCAAAGTCAATTCATGGATTATTTTTGTAAAACAAGGTAAATGCAAATATTACATTTCGTATCAATAACTTGAAAGATATTTCTGTTCTATTTAAACCAACAAAATTTAACTTTATTTTCTAAAGAGTAATTCTAGATCACGTGAACTTGAAAAGCTTTTGGGTTAGTTTCTGTATTTCTGAGAATTTTAGAATATCCAATCATTACAAGTGCTTGCTTTCAAAGTCAATTAATTTTAATATGTTAAATTAACTTTAACAATATCATCCGGAGGTAAAAAGTTGTTTCACTTTTACAAATAGATATATAGAAACACATACAGACTTTTTAGCCATGAGAAAAATGAAATCGTTTATAAAAGAACAGTTGGATCCAAATTTTGTTTTTACAGTTGGGATAAGAAGACACTTAAAATTTGTATCTGTCCTTGACAAGTGCAGTTCCAAATGACCTTCCCCTTTAAAGATGAGGACAGGCTTTTTTTTTTTTTTTTTTTAAGGAGATTTAAGTTTTTTCATTGCATTGTGGTATTAGAGACAAACAAATGTCTAAAATGGCTCTCTACTTTGGTCTTTGTTATTGCTTTGAGATCTACTTGGATTTGCAAGAAAATAAATTTGACAGAAAATTAATTTCATTTTAAGGCAACATGTTCTCAACCATTTTATTTTATTATTTTTTAAATTTATCTTTATTATTGAAAGTATTACAGATGTCCCCCTTCCCCCCATTGATCCCTCCACTCTGCATCTGCCCCACTTCCAGGCCTTCCCCATAATATTGTCTATGTCAATAGGTTATGCATATGCATATAAGTTCTTTGATTAATCTCTCCCCAACCACTCCCCCACCCCTGCCTTCCCTCTGAGATCCCTCAGTCTGTTCCATTCTTCTATGTCTCTGGATCTATTTTGTTCATCAGTTTATTTTGTTCATTATATTCCACATATAAGTGAGATCATGTGGTACTTGTTTTTCTCTGACTGGCTTATTTTGCTTAGCAAAATACTCTCCAGGTCCCTCCATGCTGCCCCAAAGGGTACGAGACCCTTCTTTTCACAGCTGCGTAGTGTCCATGGTGTGAATGTGCCACAGATTTTTTTATCCATCAGCTACTGATGGGCACCTGGGCTGTTTCCAGATCTTAGCTATTGTAAATTGTGCTGCTGTGGACATGGGGGTGCATAGATTCTTTCTGATTAGTGTATCAGGTTTCTTAGGATATATTCCTAGGAGTGGGATCACTGGGTCAAATGGCAGGTAAGTTTTTAATTTTTTGAGGAAACTCCACACTGTTTTCCACAGTGGCTGCCCCAGTCTGCATTCCCACCAGCAGTGCACTAGGTCCCCTTTCCCCACACCCTCGCCAGCACAGGTCATTTGTTGATTTGTTGATGGAGCCATTCTGACAGATCTGAGGTGATGTCTCATTGTGGTTTTAATTTGCATCTCTCTGTGATTAGTGACTTTGAGCATTTTTTCATGTCTCTTGGTCATCTGTATGAGGAAAGGCATTTTTAATACCTCAAAGAATTGGGTCACCACCTAAACTACATCATAGGTTGATCCATTTATCTAAACCCTTGTTTTGAAGCTTTGAGAAATCAATTAAATGTTTTCAATTCATTCTGCCTAATTTTACAGCCAGCTTTTTCTAATTGTGCCTGGAAATGACTAGAAGTAACAAAGGATCCTGCAGGAGTATTAATGGGGGCTGACGGTTGTGGGGCTTGGACTCGGAGGCACAGTTTCCCAGTTATAGTTTTCCTTTGAGATCTGTAGAGCCTGAACACACTTATAGGGAAGACCAGCCTTTATGTGTGCCCGTCTTTGGATGAGTCAGATGTGCTGACTCTCTCTATAGGACTGCTTCACACCCTGGAGAAATATTTCCTCAGGCAACTCCACAAAGATTCTTAGTCACTTAAGAATACCTGATCCAGGTTAGGGAAGCAATATCCTTTCTTTTTTGGACCTAACAAGAGTTCAGTCTCTCATTTAACCAGAAAAGGTTTTGTTCAGACTCTTAGTAAGCAATCCGATTTAAAAACCCTGAAACCCTACGATTAAAAGCAGCAACCCATTTTCTCTGCTTTCCCTGGGTTCTCTCAACCCATTTCGACCTTGAGGATTTTCTAAGAACAGCCCAAAGTCAGGACCTGCTACCTAAAGCAGGGAGGTCCAGGACTTCAAGAGAAACTCATCCGAGTTTGTCCAGTGTGAAGGGGGGGGCTGTGGGGCACAGTGCACCCCTGCTGGAACCTCCTACCTTATACGGGTCTGCAGGGTGGTCCTGGGTGGGCTTCTTCAGAATCCTGCAACACTACACCAAGTAAATGTTGATGCAAGAAATGTCCACACCTGTAGAGAATTTTTCTAAGAGTTTATTTGAGCCAAAATTGACAGCATTTCCAGGAAGCAAGATCTCAGATGCTCCCGAAAGAGTTTTGCAATGTCTTTTATACATTTGGAATTAAGGAGGGGAGAGAAGGAAGATTACATGAAGTTGAGAGAAAACAAACCACAGGTTAGTTAAGATTATGTGCTTCCTTGAAGATGATTACTTCTGATGGGTCTGAAAAAGACAGGGCTTGCTTAAGGCAAAGATAAGCCTATTATTTTTATAATTTTTAAATTTTTAAATCCTCACCTGAAGATACTTTTTCCATTGCTTTTCAGAAAGAGTGGAGTGGAAGTGGGACATGGGGAGAGAGACAGACAGACAGACATTGATGTAGAGAGACACATTGATTGGTTGTTTCCCACATGCTCCCTGCAGGGATCAGGCCTGCAACTGAGGTACATGCCCTTGGCTGGAATCGAATCCAAGACCCTTCAGTCCAAAGGCTGACGTTCTAACCACTGAGCCAAACTGGCTAGGGCTAAATAAGCCTTTTTTATAGGTCTGGGGTGTGACTACCCACCATGACCTGCCCAGTTATGAATTTATGATCAGATCACCCTGTGAGGTTACTTTTGGTTAGATTTATTACAGAGCCCCTTTATTGTCCACAAAATAGTACTAGAATTTTTTAAAAAATATATATCTTTATTGATTTCAGAGAGAGGAAGGGAGTGAGAGAGAGAGAGAAACATCAATGATGAGAGAGAGTCATTAATCTGCTGCCTCCTGCACGCCCAACACTGGAGATCCAGCCTGCAACCCAGGCATGTGCCCTGACCAGGAATTGAACCTCGATCTCCTGGCTCATAGGTCAGTGCTCAACTACTGAGCCACGCTGGCCGGGTAGTACGGAATTTTAAGTTCTGCCTGTCCCCATCCTTTTCCCTACCCAATACAACACATACCCAAAGGAAGTTGCTGCTGGTGACTGATGTCAGGAGAGTTGTGAAGGGTGGCATTCCTCTGCCCCTGGAAGGCATCTAGGCTAGCTCATTTGTATTACTGATAGGGAAGCAGGCCTTGAAATGAGGGCTGACCCACCCTAGGTCACAGCAGATCAAAGCAAAGCACCTAGTGTCTCTTTTTTTTAAACTGATTTCAGAGAGAGAAAGGGAGAGGGGAGGGAGAGAGAGAGAAACATCAGTGAGGAGAGAGAGTGACTGATTAGCTGTCTCCTGCAGGCCTCCTACTGGGGATGGGGCCCCAAAACCCAGGCATGTGCCCTGACTGGGAATCGAACCGTGACCGCCAGGTTCATGGGTTGATGCTCAACCACTGAGCGAACCAGCCAGGCACACCCAGTCTCTTAACTTCTAGCCCAGGGCTCTTCCCCAGAGATGGACCTCTGTCACACTTTAGCTTCTAGGGAGCAGAATGGGATGTCCCTTGTCACAGGAGAGCCACTGCATGTTCCCAGAGGCCAGAGCCAGTGGTGAAGTTGAAGTCTTGTCACCCATCCCTGGCTCAGGGCAGAATTGGAATTGAAAGGCAGGCTGCTTCCCTGTTCACTGTGTGGGTCTGCTGCCTTCGTCTTGGGCCCTCTCTGCTCCAGAGCCTCCTTCTCTAAGCCCCTACTTTGAGTCTCACCTAGGAGTCAGGGACCAGTCTCACATTCTACACTTGGCAATGTCCCCCTGCCAATACCTGTGCCAAGTGGAGGCAATGGAAGGGGGTAAACCAGTTGGCCCATTGGTCTGCTGACAGGAACACTGAGGAGGACTGTAGCCTGGGTGGCCTGTGTGCCTTCTCTGGAAGTGTGGAGTACCTACTGTGTGCAGGCTTTGTTCTAGGCATTGGTATCATCAGTGGATCAGTGGGCTACACCTCTGTCCTCACAATTGACATTTTTGTATAGGAGATGGACAGTAAGGAAAATCAGTTAGTAAAGTGTCAGAGTTAGAAGGTGATAAGTTTTACAGAGAAAAATGAAACCTCAGGGAGGTGCGCCTCAGGAAGATTTGGAGTGGAGAGTCTTGGCAGGGTCCCTCTGGCTGTACAGAGTGATCGACTGTAGGAGGGTGATGGGAAGTAGGAAGGCTGGCTGGAGTCGTACTGTAGTATGGTAGGCTGCCTCTTGGCCATTACCCGCTCCTACCTCCTGGTGCCCCGAAATGCCCTGGGTTCTGGTTTCTTGCTCACTGGAGGCCTCTCTCCTCTCTATTCTACAGTGTGGAGGGCGAGGCCCCCAGCAGCGAGACCTGCACGTCATTGGACAGCCCCTCAGCCTATCACCAGGACCCCTTAGCACCTGGCTCCAGCCTGAGCCCAGACCACTACGAGCACACTTCTGGGGGCGCCTATGGGCTGTACTCCGGGCCACTGGGGCAGCGCACACGGAGGCCCAAGCTGCAGCACTCGACCTCCATCCTGCGCAAGCAGGCTGAGGAGGAGGCCATCAAGCGCTCACGTTCCCTCTCTGAAAGCTATGAGCTCTCCTCGGACCTGCAAGACAAGCAGGTAGGTGGGACCAGACTCTGGGCCACTTGGGGACAGGCAGCAGTGCTGCTCGGCCTGCCAGCGTGTCCCCCAGGAACGACGCAGCCCTTTGCTGGGGCCGCCTGAGGCAGTGGGCTTCTCAGCTTCCCTGATGGTGCTCTGCGCGCTCTGACACGCGGCAGGATGAGTTAAGTGTAAGCTCCCTAAGAAAGAGCCTTTGCCTAAGCCAGAGCTGATTGGCTCCTCCCAATGATGGAGGGAGTCAGAGTGAAGAGGCTGAACTCTGGACATTTCTTCTGTTAGGCCTTTCCCTTTGCCTTGTTCCCAGCCCTAATGGCTGGAGTCCAGGGGCTATGTTGGCGGTCTGGTTGTCAAGGCCTGACACCACAAGGATACACAGGTTGTGTGGCTGGCTGCTGAGTTTCTAAGTCCCCAGGAGAGTTCTGACCCTTGGGAAGTCTGTTCAGGAAACCCCCGGGGAGAAGGGAGGGAGGTTACTTTACAAGGGAAATAGCTCTTACTTGAAGAAGAACCAGCGATGATACCCTTCCAGTTCACAACTTAGAATCCTTGTGGGAAATCACCCAACCCTAAGGCCACACTCTTCCTTGAGGGGCCTTTACCCAGACCCGCACTGTGAGGTCAGTGCCTGTGTGCTGAGCAAGGCTGATGCACCACCTGGCTGGGCTCCAGGAAGGACTAGAGAAAGCCTCTTGGGGTTGAGGGAAGAGAGGAAAGGTCTTTCCCAGCTGGGTGGTGGTGGGTGGGGGAGCAGAGGGAGCAGGAGGCAGTTGGGGATCAGAGAGTTCTCACTTTTAGCCCCTTGGAGTGCAGGCACATAGTAGGCACTTCAACAAGAATTCAGGCATGAAACTACGAGGGAAACTTTTAGCCCTCAGGAGAAGTCCCAGGCTTCCTGGAAGCAGCTGTTTAAGCAGGGAGGGTCAGGTGGTCTTACTTTTCCAAGCTCCTGGGCACACAGCTTTGGGTAGTCTCCTGTGGGTCCTGAGCAGACACCTCTGCACCGGCCTGGCACCAGGACCCTGTCTTATCTTCCCTTCTGCCCACATCTACCCCACTCCTGGCTGCCCTCTGTCTGCTTCGAGTCTTCCCATTTGTCTTTGGAGCAAAGGTTCGGGCCTGCTGTGGCCCTGACTTCTCCGGGGAGCAGTGTAGGTACTGCCCAAGGTGGGTCTTTCCCCACCAGCACCTCTCTCCTGCTTTCAGTGTTGCCCTCTGACTCTGGACAGCCCTGATCTCACTTCATGCTTCTACCTGTGAGCCGATACTGAGAGGGGAGATGGCAAGTGGCTAGTACCTAATAGCAAATGGCCCATTCTCAGGGTGGGGGAGCAAATAATCCTCTGCCCCTGTGGTATTTGGTCCCGTGGACACAGCAGGGGGCACAGCCTCTGTTCCCTTTATCAGTTACACCTAGATCCAAAGTGGATCAGAAACAATTTATAGTAAAGGACATGTGCAGCAGGACCACTAAAATAGAATTAAGAAAGATTAGGACTAACGGAAGCCAATAGAAACAACCATGTGCTTCCTATAGCCTTAGTATGGCCACAGCTGTTGATTTTTGTCCCATGGCTATTGGCCAAATGTCCACCTTGTGCCAGACACTGTGTTGGGTGCTGGAGTGTCAGCAGTGGACAAGGTCATGCCCCATTTCTTAAGCTGACACTGTGGTTCCAGGAGATAGACCACGGACAGGTTAGCAATACAGACACAGTTTAATTCTAGAAAGTGATACAAATGTTAGAGATTGTGAAATAGGGGACAGAAATTAAGTGATTATGGGAGGTAACAGCATTGGAAGAGGGTGATGGGGAAAACCTCTCTAAGGTAGCCTGAGAATTGGGTGTTTGTGGAAGGGGCTCTCTAGGTAATAGCAGTTGAAAGGCCCTGAAGCAGAATAGACTTGGGAGAGAGGATGGCAGGAAGAGGTGCTAAGAGGTGAGAGTGAAGAAGTGACATTGATGGTCACTGAGCATTTAACTCTGTGCTGAGCTTCTTGGTAAGTAAGACCAAAGTGGGAATAGAACAGATTACAAGAGAATTACCAGATGAATGTAGGATACCTGGTTCCAAAGGGGTTAAAATCTGTGTGATGCAAAGTCCCATTTAAGTGAAAGGAGCCCAATGGGAAGCCTTGGATTTTCAGTCAGGTCCCTGGGTCTCTGTACCTCCTGGTAGTTTCCTGCCAGCAGGAGTGGGAGGCATAGTCATTGAGAGGTGGCTCGTTCTGCTCCGTGGAAGGGCCTCTCAGTTTTTCTTCCCTGCTGTTAGAAGTGCCCCTTTAAAGGGGGAGTGAGGGCTGATGGGAGAGCCCCGGCTAGGGTTGACTCCTTGTCGTGCTACTTCTTTGTGCCTCCTCTGAGAAGTGTGTGAGTATCTGCAGATGGGAAGTCATTGTGAATGTCAGGTGAGCACGTACTGATGACCTCCTCCCTGTGTCCCAGTGAACTTCAGATCAGGCCTTGGGTGGGTGCTGGCTTAGAGGGAAGAGCGGCCACAGTGAGCCTGGGGGCGTGTCAGGGCGGGCCTGGGTCAGTGTGTGCTCTGGGGAGGCCCGACAGGAGGGACTGAGGGGCTTTGATGACAAAACACAGCCCATTTCTGCCTTCCTGAAGTCCCTCTTCTCTCCTGCCCCTGCACCCCCAGATTTGGGGAGCTGGTCTCAGGCAAACAGGGTCACTGCTTACTTTGTGAAGTCAAAAGTTAGCAGGAGAAAATAGGCCCCAGAGTGAGCCCTGGCATGGTAATACCTCCCTATCCCAAAGGCTGACATAAGGGGCCCAGGACCACAGGCCTTGGAGGGCAGAGAAGGGAGGGCTTCCCTGGAGCTTAGCTTGCGCCTTTTATTGGCCCTGTGGGCTTACAAAGCTGCAGTCAAACCCAAACAACAAACGGCATACAGATGTGGAGTGAAGTCACCTTCAGGGTGAGGGAAAAACAGACCCACCCTTGCTGACTGGATCTGGCCAAGATTTGAAAAGTCAGTCTGAGCCACACGCACCCCCCAACCCCCTGTCCCCTCCCCTGTTCTGCTGCTTCCTCTCCTGTGGACCCCCCAGGAGCTCGTGTGGCCCACGTTGGAGGACCGGCATCCCTGAGATGGGTGGCTCACGGAACTGGGCATGCTCTCACTTTCCAGAGAGGCGAACAGGCTGCCAGCTGGCAAGTGGGGACCAGTGCCCATCCTTGGTGTGTGAGGCTGTGAGCCCTTGTTCCAGCCCTCAGTGGCTCTGAGCAGCCCTCTCTCCCGACTCCAGCATCTGTTTGACTTTATTTCAGTGACATCTGTGCTTCTGTTCTCTGAGACAGACTCTTTTCTTCTTTTAATTTTTTTTTTTTATTGATTTTTGGAGAGAGAAGAAGGGAGAGGGAGAGAGAAAGAGAAACATTAATGTGAGAGCGGAACATCGATTGGCTGCCGCCTGCACACCCCCACTGAGGATTGAACCCACAGCCTGGGCATGTGTCCTGACCAGGAATCAAACCATTAACCTTTGGGTGCCTAGGACGACCTCAACCACTGAGCCACACCTGCCAGGGTGACTCTTCACTCTCTCTTTTTTTTTTTTTTTGGTAATCCTCACCCAAGGATATTTTTTCCATTGATTTTTCCCTAGAGAGAGTGGAGAGGAGGGAAGGAGGAAGGGGGAGAGAGAGAAAGACATTGATGTGAGACAGACACATTGATTGGTTGCCTCCTGCATGCAGGGATTGAACCTGCAACTGAGGTACAAGGTAGATGCCCTTGGCCAGGAATTGAACCTGCAAATCGAACCTCATGACCCGTCCATCTATAGGCTGACACTAACCAGTGATCCAAACTGGCTAGGGCAACTCTTCGCTTCTTGAGAGCAGGAAACTCTCTCTGTGTTGCCAGCTTTGGCGTGGTGCCTGCATGGATTAGGCAGGTGGGACCTAGGTGAGCTGGTGTGCTGCTTTGCCCCCTGAGCAGGGTGACTTATTCCCGAGGATCTGAGAGCTCTCCTGGCCCCACATCAGGTGCCTCTTTTCCCGGCTCCCTGAGAGGCCAGTTCCTTCTCCTGGACTCCCACCAAGCAGGCTCCAGCTCCAGGTGCACGTTTGTTTCTCACTCAGGACTGAGGCGCAGGCAACAGCCCTCATAGCCTGGTCACAAGTGGGCTGGTGTGAGCCTCAGGACTTCTGGAAGCCCATGTGTCACACTGGAGAGTCCTAGCCCCTGTCACTGGCCTGCAGCCCTGCTCCACCTCCAAACTCTAGGGGAAGGGCTGCCAGGGCCTGTGGTACCAGAGAATAAGAAGGTGCTCCCAACCCTGGTGTGCGCTAGGTCTCTTCTCTGGGCCTCGTTTCCTCATCTNTCTGTGCTTCTGTTCTCTGAGACAGACTCTTTTCTTCTTTTAATTTTTTTTTTTTATTGATTTTTGGAGAGAGAAGAAGGGAGAGGGAGAGAGAAAGAGAAACATTAATGTGAGAGCGGAACATCGATTGGCTGCCGCCTGCACACCCCCACTGAGGATTGAACCCACAGCCTGGGCATGTGTCCTGACCAGGAATCAAACCATTAACCTTTGGGTGCCTAGGACGACCTCAACCACTGAGCCACACCTGCCAGGGTGACTCTTCACTCTCTCTTTTTTTTTTTTTTTGGTAATCCTCACCCAAGGATATTTTTTCCATTGATTTTTCCCTAGAGAGAGTGGAGAGGAGGGAAGGAGGAAGGGGGAGAGAGAGAAAGACATTGATGTGAGACAGACACATTGATTGGTTGCCTCCTGCATGCAGGGATTGAACCTGCAACTGAGGTACAAGGTAGATGCCCTTGGCCAGGAATTGAACCTGCAAATCGAACCTCATGACCCGTCCATCTATAGGCTGACACTAACCAGTGATCCAAACTGGCTAGGGCAACTCTTCGCTTCTTGAGAGCAGGAAACTCTCTCTGTGTTGCCAGCTTTGGCGTGGTGCCTGCATGGATTAGGCAGGTGGGACCTAGGTGAGCTGGTGTGCTGCTTTGCCCCCTGAGCAGGGTGACTTATTCCCGAGGATCTGAGAGCTCTCCTGGCCCCACATCAGGTGCCTCTTTTCCCGGCTCCCTGAGAGGCCAGTTCCTTCTCCTGGACTCCCACCAAGCAGGCTCCAGCTCCAGGTGCACGTTTGTTTCTCACTCAGGACTGAGGCGCAGGCAACAGCCCTCATAGCCTGGTCACAAGTGGGCTGGTGTGAGCCTCAGGACTTCTGGAAGCCCATGTGTCACACTGGAGAGTCCTAGCCCCTGTCACTGGCCTGCAGCCCTGCTCCACCTCCAAACTCTAGGGGAAGGGCTGCCAGGGCCTGTGGTACCAGAGAATAAGAAGGTGCTCCCAACCCTGGTGTGCGCTAGGTCTCTTCTCTGGGCCTCGTTTCCTCATCTGTATAGTGGGGGACTTGGGAACCCCATAATCTGTCAACACCTTCCAGGAATACACTTGAGGGTCTTTTAGCCCCAGGTGTCCCTGAACTTGGCATGTACTGAGCACTTGCCTCAGTCTCAATGAGTGATTGGCACAGTGTCTCAGCAGGGCCAGGGTTAGAATCCAGGCATCTGGCCTTGGAACCTGTTCCTCAGCTTGGCGATTCTCTCAGGTCTCCCTAAAATTTAGTGACCCCTCCAGGCCACAAAGAACGCACTGTCAGTGCCATAGAAAGGAAACAAGTCTGGAAGCCTACGGCTGATGCTCAGTGCCTGGGCCTCACTGAGATCTTAGGCAGGTCTTTTTCTGTGGTTAATCCTCACCCAAGGATATTTTTTCCACTGATTTTTAGAGCGTGGAAGGGAAGGAGGGACGGGGTGGGAAGGAGAGAGAAATATTGATGTGACAGAGATACATTGGTCGGTTGCCTCCTAAACACACCCCGACCAGGGTGGGGATCAAACCTGCAACCCTTCAGTGCAAGGACTGATGCTCTAAACACTGAGAAACATCAGCCAGGGCTGGCAGGTGTTTTAATCTGCACGTGCCTCAGGTTCCTCCTCTCTGGAGGGGCTACCTTCACCTCTTCCAACATCTCCAAAGTTGTGTTAAACTGCATACCACAAGATGTGCAAGGCTTCTGTGGCCAAAGAAGTTTGGGGAATCACCACCTTTTAAAGGTTCTGAGAAGTCCTGCAAAGAACATACTTGCTTTAACTTTAAAGGTGTTTCTCCATCTTATTTAACCTTAGAACCCAGATTGGGCACATTAGCATGCCCCAGTGGTTTTAAGCAGCTTAGGGACATGCTGAAGCCTTCCCAGACGGTGCCGCAACTGGCTGGGGAGGGAATGACTGCTCATAGGTATCTTGCTACTCCAGCACTCAGGAATGTCTTCACTCTCCTCTCCTTGCCCCTCCAGGTGGAGATGCTAGAACGGAAGTATGGGGGGCGCCTCGTGACCCGCCATGCAGCCCGCACCATCCAGACGGCCTTCCGCCAGTACCAGATGAACAAGAACTTCGAGCGCCTGCGCAGCTCCATGTCAGAGAACCGCATGTCCCGCCGGATTGTGCTGTCCAACATGAGGATGCAGTTCTCCTTTGAGGGGCCTGAGAAGATGCACAGCTCCTACTTTGAAGGGAAGCAGGTCTCCGTGACCAATGATGGCTCTCAGTTGGGAGCCCTGATGCCCTCTGAGTGTAGTGACTTCAGTGAGCCGCCTTCCCTCAAGTCTTCTGCCCCATCTAGTGACTTTGCAGATGCCATCACTGAGCTGGAGGACGCCTTCTCTCGTCAGGTGAAATCACTGGCTGAGTCCATCGATGACGCCCTCAACTGTCGCAGCCTTCATACTGAGGAGATGCCTGTCCCCGTGAGTGGGCGAGCCCGGGACACCGAGCCCCAGGCAGCCCTGCATGCTGTGGACCATCGCAAATTGGACGAGATGACAGCCTCGTACAGTGATGTCACCCTGTATATCGACGAGGAGGAGCTGTCACCACCCCTGCCCCTCTCCCAGGCGGGGCATCTGCCATCCAGTGCTGAGTTAGACCTGCAGCTGGGGGCAGGGGGCACCGCCCAGGACTACTGGGCGCTGGCTCACAAGGATGACAAACGGGACACTGACACGAGCTGTCAGAGCACACCGTCGCTGGAGCAGCAGGAACAGCGGCTGCGGGGGGAGCACCTCCCGCTGCTCACCATTGAGCCACCCAGTGACAGCTCTGTGGACCTTAGTGACCGTTCAGAGCGTGGCTCACTCAAGAGACAGAGTGCCTGTGAGCGCAGCCTCAGTGGGCAGCAGGGCAGCCCCAAGCACGGCCCCCACAGTGGCCCCCCTAAGGGCCTGCCCCGGGAGGAGCCAGAGTTGCGGCCCCGGCCTTCTAGGCCCCTTGATGGCCACCTGGCTATCAATGGTTCAGCCAACAGGCAGAGCAAGTCAGAGTCAGACTACTCAGATGGGGACAACGACAGCATCAACAGCACTTCTAATTCCAATGACACCATCAACTGCAGCTCTGAGTCGTCATCCCGCGACAGCCTGCGGGAGCAGACTCTCAGCAAGCAGACCTATCACAAGGAGACCCGCAACAGCTGGGACTCTCCTGCTTTCAGCAATGATGTCATCCGCAAGAGGCACTATCGCATTGGCCTCAACCTTTTCAACAAGTGAGTACCTGCTGGTCATGCAGGGATGAGAAGGGTGGGGCAGTGACACACAAGGGACCTTGGCCAGGGCCTTACTCTCATGCCCCAGTGCTTCTGTGAGCACCTGCAGGGGTGGACGTCCAGCAGTGCCTGCAATAGCCAGTGCTATTGGTCGGGGAGATTAGAACCCAGTGAGCAGTGTTGTGGGGAGAGCAGATGCTGACAGGCTGAGCAGGGCAGAATGAGGGGCTTCTCTGCTAAAGCAACATGAGTTCAGGACCCTTTCAGCACCTAGAACAGTGACCAGTGCACAGCAGGTGCTCAGGAAACTACATAAAGCAGCAGTATGTGATGCCACGCCTGGCTGTGAGCATCAGGCTCCAGGGTTTGGATGGTGGGTGATGTGGAGCATGAAGATCTGAGCAAGGGCATGGTGTGGTCTGTGTGCTGGCTGGACTTGGAGGCACCTGTTGATGGAGGTGGACACATTTAAGCCTGTGCTAGCAGAAGTCTCAGCCAGCCACCAGGTCCTTTGGGAGGAGTGTGAACTGGGCCTCTTGAGTGCTGTTTCCCTCAGGTGTTCTGGAAAGGTATACAGGACAGTCCTGACAGCAGAACTGAGGACAGAGGCAGGCCTTTAAAAGCAGGCTATTCTTAGCACTGCTAGAAGTAGCAAGCAAAGGGGAAGGGGCTGGACACTCCCTTGGAGGAGACATTGGCAGGCTCTGGTTATTAAACCTCAGATTTCACATTGTTTCCTCCCGTGGGGCCTCTGGGATTTAGGGTCACCAGACACCAGCCAGGGTTGAGGATGTGGCCAGCCAGCCTGACTGGTGGTTACTAACACATTTACTACACTTTCCTGCTTCCTTGTCTCCTAGATTAGGGTAGTCTTGTGGGCACTTTTGAGCCATCCCTGGTACAAGTGGAAGTGCTGTCTGGGGGATTCAGAGAGGCCTGTCCCAGAGGGCAGGAATAGGGAATGTTGCATTCCTATGGGGCCAGTTGGGTCTGGGGGTCTTTGGTCCTCACTCAGCTAAGAACTAAGAGTCTTGGACACCTGATATCTGCCATGGGTGCTCTTTCCCGAGACTCCCATCTGCCTGTCGTCTGCTGCATGTAAGGATCAGCCCTGCCACTGTGCAAGTTGTGGCCGAACAGCACGCTGGGCAGGGAAGGTCATGTCTTGCTGAGGCCATCCTAAGCTCTGTACAAAGAGTCTGCCCCACCTGCTTCAGGGTACAGCTATTTCCTGGATCAACTTAGACCCAGGCCTGTGCCCTCCTAGGGGAGGCCAAGATAACTGGGGGTTGAGATAACCTGGGGTTTTCCCCAGTATCCAAGCTTACCTCGGTCCTGGCAGATACTGTGTTCTGTTGTGGGAGTCCCAGCTGAGTGGACAGGTGGAGGCCAGAAAAAACAGTCTCCCTCAGCCACCCAGTAGATTGTTTCTAACTCTGTTAGTCTTTTTTTTTTTGGTTTTTCTTTCCTACTGAATTTATTGGTGTGGCATTGTTACTGGAAAGGGGACCTGGCCCTTGGCAGGTCTGCCTAGGACTGGCTAGTAGTATGTGAGTTCTTCGCTTCATGCAGGAAAGATTTCACAACACAAGTCCATGTCAATTTTAGAGGACGTTTATTAAAGCTGGGGATGTGAAACAAGGAAGGGCTGGGGAATGAGGCTGGGCTGCTTTTGGCTCACTAAGAAGTCAGAGAAAAGGGGGCCTTGGGGACAGGCTCAGGGGGTTGCCCGGGATGAACTGCCACTGCCCTTCACTGCCCTGGTTGCAAGTCTTGTGGGATCCCTTAGAGTTTAGGAGATACGTGCCTGTGGGGAAGAAGGGGAGGCAGAGGGGAAAGGTGCGGGCATGCTCCTGGGAGGGAGAGTGGGCGCTGGGACCTTCATTTTGAGAGGTTTTAAAGGCTGTGCATTTGGGGGAGGATCTCAACAAAATATTTATCAACTTTATGCTGATGTACCAAAATGAGATTTATTCTCTTCACTTCATCTGTCCTTGGGTGTGGCTGGCAAATGGCACTAATTGGGTTCTGCTGTCTGTCTCCCTGAGTGGGGTGATTTAAGATAGTTACCCTCTGGTTGGGGAGAACCATTTACTCTTAAGTGTGTCCCTGGTTTAGGGAGATAGGATATGCTAGATGACTGCACACTGCTGTTTAACTCTCAGTTCCCCTGTTCTGCTTGTCTCAACGTGATAGAAGATTACATAGGTTTCAGGTGTACAATTCCACAACGCGTCATCTGTATACTGTATTGTGTGTTCACCACCCCAAATCAGGTCTCTTTCCATCGCCATTTATCCCCCTGTTTCCTCTCCTACCTCTAAATACATGTGTAGTATGTGAATATTTTATCCAAAGGAAATGAAACCTCTGATTAGGGTAACATCCCCTGTGACTGTTATTTTGGATCTCTCCTCCCAGATCCCTGTCTCTGTGTATGTGTGTGCACTCTTAGGAACTAGAGACCACTGTGGTTCAGGACATAGATCTGGGCCAGACTGCCTGGGCTCAAGCCTAGCACCTTTACTTCCTTCTGAATGTCCTTGGATAGCACAGCCCAGAGGCCCCCGACAGCATCTACCTCAGAGGGTGTGAGGAGGAAAGGAGGGGATGTGCTGAGTTAGAGCCGCTGCTAGCACAGAATCCACCCTCCCCGAGGATTAGCTGCTGTTACTATGGCCTTGCTGACATCATCCGGGCCTGCAGTTATGAGGATCATCTTATTGTGATAAGGACACATGGTCTGGAGATCTTCCCTGTCAGTGCCATGGACTGCCTCATTTCTGCTTGCTGCTGCATAGGTCCATCTGTGCTAATCCATATTTATGTGGCCAGTTGCTTTCGCTTTTTCACTATGACCAATAAGAGGACAGTGAGGATAGATCTGCTCTTTACACACACTCCCCAGAGAGTGTCCAGGGAAGATAGCTAAGAGGTGGAATTGTCTGGGCTTAGGCATGTTTTTATTGAAATAGGAACTGCAATTTACGCTTGAAAGGGGGGCTTACCCACTTCCTATCTCTACAGCTGGACCTGAGAGTTCCTTTTTCCCTCACATGCTTGTCAACACTCCATCTTATCACCTGCCTTTCACCCCAATCTGAGAGTAGAAATGGTGTCTCTTGGTTTTATTTGCATTTCCCTGCTTGCTTCTAAGGTGGAGCATCTATGTGTGTGTCTTTCGGCCATTTGGGTTTTTTCTTCTATAAAATGTCTGTTCTTATTTTTTGTCCATTTTTCTATTAGGTTATTTGTCATTTTGATTTGACTAGAAGTTCTTTGTATTTTGTTGATACTAATCCTTTGTAATTACAAATACTTCCCACCACTTGTCTTTTTTTTTTACTTTTTCTTTTGAGCTATAATTCACATACCATGCAATTCACCCTTATTTGGTTTTTAATTATCCTTTATCCTACGAAAGGGAACTTTAGTTCCCAGCGAGGAGTGGGTCCCGCTGGCCGAATTTAAATGCTGACGGAATTTAAATGCCGTCTTTTAAAGGTTAAATATCTTTTAACTTTGTTTATGCTCTCTTATCCAATGGAAGTTTTTTATTTTTATTTTTTTCACTTTTTAACCGAGGTATAATTGACATGTAGCGTTATATTAGTTTCAGGTACACAACACAATGGTTTGATATTTGTATGTCCTTTCTTCACTGACTTGAAATTCCATCTAATTCCTGCATGAACTTAAGTCTGTGCTTGGACCCCTTCATTCATTCAGCAAGTATTTACTGAGCACCTTCTACACTCTAGGCACTGTCTCAGGGACCCCACACCTACCAGTTGAACAGACTAAAGATACTTGTGCAGCTCCACCCTAATGGTTAGAGGATCTGTTTTTATTGCTCTGCCAACATCAGACTTTTAGTTTTATGTGTTTTCTTATTAGGGCAAAACCGTGCTTTTGTTCTTTTTAAAGTGTCTTGGCTCTTCTTGGTGGGTATTCTTGCACATGAATTTCAGAATCTGCTTATTACAACCCATGAAAAATCCTGATGGGCTTCTCATTGGAGTTGCCTTTAGCTCAGAATTGAACTAGTTGTAAGTTGAATTTTTACAACAGTGAGGTCCAACCACAGGTGGCTATTTAAATAGAAATTAAAGCTAATTAAAATTAACCCAGTTCCTCAGGTGTACTAGTTGCAGTACAGGTGCCCACCAGCCATGTGTGGTTAGTGGCTGCGGTACCGGGCGGTGTGAGTCTAGAACAGCATCCTGGCTGCAGAGCATGCTAGTGGACAGTGATGGCTGAGCATGCTGAGAGAGACACAGTGACACTGGCTGCATGTGGGGGGTGGGGCAAAGTTGTGTAGCAGCCCCTTCCCCGTGGCAAGAACCCTTGGACTCCTTGTGAAACATGCCCTCTACCCCTCCATGAGGGCGCAGCACAGAGCTTGGCTTCCTCCCAGGGCAGCCTTTGTGCCTCCGAGCCTTGATTTACCATCTCAGGGGTTTGTTGGGAGGATTGAAGGAGAAACTGCTTTTCCAAAACTGTGTTATTTAAATAAGCAAATACCTTTCTTACACAGATTCAAAGCTTTTCCACAGATGTACGCACACTGGCCATCTCCTGGGAGACAAGAGGGCAGGTGGTTGGACTCTACGTAGACAGAGGCCCAGGGCCCTCTGCAGAGGCAAAGCTGGAGCTGGGAGCTTGAGACCTTCTAGGACTGGGCAGCGCTGTGGCTGGTTCCTGGGGCTGCCGGCTGAGGATGACCGAGGGCAGGGGATTCTAGTGACACTGAGCACCCTGATGCCCAAAGCCGGGGTCCCTCCCCTGAAGGTCCCTCCTCTCCACCTCATACCTTTCCACCACCTACCTCTCCACCACCTACCTCTGCTTCCCATGGTTCTCCCTGTGGGTCTCTTGTTCCCCATCTTTCTCCCTCCCCAGCCCCCCACCCTTCTCCACACCCCTAACTGCTTCCCCTGTCCACCCAGCCTTTTGGACAGCCCTTAGTTCCCACCCACTCCCAGCAGTGAGCTTTCCCGCATAGACCCCCTCTTGAGGGGACACGGAGGGTCTGGATGATGGATCTAAAGTGGGAGAGCTGTGAGCAGGAAGAAAAGCAAAACAACGGAAACCTGAGAAAGTGATGTGGATTGGCGGGCAGGGCCCATCCCAGCCTGCTAGAGGAGGCTGCGGCTGTCAGCCTGACATCCAGGTGTTCCTCTGAGATTTTGCCATTTTATTGGCTCTGGGACCATACATCTGGCTTACATCACTGGAGGGAGGGTGGGGTCCAGGAACCAGTGGCAAGAGGGTTTTGGCCCCAGCTTTGCCACTTAATTCCCTGCACCCTCGGAGCCTCTCTGGCCACACCTGGAAAATGAGCCCCTGCCATCAGAGGCCTAATGAGGATTAGAGATAGTGGAACCAAGAGCCTCGCCTGGAGGTGTTCGTGGGTGGCAGCTGGGGCTTCTGCACTGAGAGCCGGAGCCAAGGGGAGGGTGCTTTAAGGGCCTCGGGCTTCAGGAGGACCCAACATGTGGCTTGGTGGACAGAGAGGTTATAAATAATAGGAATGGCTAATACTTAGATATACTGGCAGTGTGCCAGGCACTGTTCTCCGGCCTGTCATGCTTTAAGTGATGATCTCCTGTAGGGTAGGGACTGTTACTAGCCTCATTTTACGGATAGGGGAACTGAGGCTCCCAGAGTCACTCCACTGATAGGTGGCCAGGCTGCAATTCACACCCCTGCCACCTGGCTCCTGAGCGCATCCTCTGAAAACCCAGTGAAGGAACTGCTACCACACGTGCAGCCCTGTGCACCTCTACCTGCCTGCTGGGCCACAGATGTCTCCTGAGATTCCAGGAGGCAGAACTCACAGGAGGCTACCGTCTTGGAGCAGTGGTCCTGGGGTTACCGCAGTGACAGGACCTGGGGTCAGTATCCCACAGTCCTGACGGGAACCCAGCAGGACCCTTATTCAGCCTGCTTGTCCACGGAGGGGATTTTGTTCCACCCTAGGGTCCCCTGCGCCTGTGTTCCAGGTGCAAGCCTCACTGTGCCCCTCCCACTTCCTTTCTGGCAAGGGTCCAGGTGATCCTCGTCCAAGCCAGTGTTGTCATAGGTGAAGCAGGCCAGACCTCTCCCAACTCTGGAAGAGTGTCCTTGTCCCCAGAGCTGCCCCATGATGAAACAGGAGCCCTCAGAAGGAGTGAGTGCTTTATCCCTGGAGGGCATGTAAGCCAGGCCTCAGAGACCGCCTGGGGTGACGGTGTGCTGGGACTCCTGCTTGGGCTAGAAGCTATTTATGGGGGCCTTTGAGGTCCCTTCCAGCCCAGGGCCTGCACTGGGAGGCAGGTCTTCCCTCCATCCACATCCAACCCATGGGGTCCGTCAGCTTCCAGGTATCATCATGCCTGCTACCTGCTGGAGCTGCTCAAGAGGAAGGCAGAGAGCTCTGCTGTGGGGGTTGCTCTGAGATTTCAGCCATCCCACATCCTGGGAGGTCAGCTGCACTCTGCCAAATTGAGGGCCATCAGCCAGGCAGGCCAGGTGTGGGTGGGTGGTTCAGAGTGCCTGAGTCAGGGACGCCTAGCCCAGCCCTCAGTCATTGCCACGCGGAAACAGGCCCAGTTGACCCCCTCATCTAGAAGTTGAGGGAGGAGAAGTGGCATAGACTGGGGTCCTGTGGGCCAGCTTGGAGTGGGTGGTGAGGAAACGTGACCGGCCCTGGCCATTGCATCAGCAACTGAGGGCTGGAGAGGCCTGGAGTGGGAGGTTCTTGGTTAAAGTCCCCAGAGTCATGGGGAAGAATGGGGCATGTGGGGGGCTGGCAGGGGTGATAGAACAGAACCACTCTGTCACCACTTTAGTGCCAGGAACCATCTAGCTGGCAACTGCTCCCTGCCAGTCTCCTGAGGGTGAGGTCAAGGTGTGTAGTCATCCAGGATAAAAATAGCAGGGTCACCTTGCAGCAGGAGTTCAGTTTGGCTACGAGTGGAAATCTAGTATTTGCAGGACACTGCTGGCAGTGGGAGCCAGAGCGTTGAAAGGCAGCTGACCCTAGCCTTGTATCCAGGCCCTGGGCAGCAGCAGAATACTGACCTCTGCCCACAGGGGCAAGGGGCAGGCCGGCCCCCAGCTAGTGGGCGACTTGATTTACCCCATGAGAATGGGTGCTGCGTGCGCCCTAAGGCCTCTGCAGCTCCTCAAGTTCTGGGGTTGTCAGACGAGGATGCCTGCCCTCCAAGGGTCACACGTGTGGCCCCTCACCTCACCCTGTCTCCTTGGACCACCAGTACGTCCCTGTGAGGTCAGCCAAGCTCATGTCATACTATGCAACCAGCAGGATGGAGGCCCCAAGGAAGGAAGGGGCCTGCCTGGGCTCCCTACCTAGCCCCCTAGGGGGCCTCTCAGCCCCCCAGCGACTGCCCAGTCAGGGCATGTGCTGCACCTTCATTTCTTCATGTAAGTCAGGGCTAATCCTTAGCACCTCTCTCAGTGCTTACTGTGAGCATCATTCCAGCACTGTTAGTGAGTCCTCACAGCACGGCAAGGTCACAAGTTTGTTGGGCTCCTAAACAACACAGGTAATGAGTGCTGACCCCAAGGAGCAGTGTAAGAAGTGAGTGAGTGACTGAGTGAGTGGGTGTGGGGTGCTTAGGTGATGGTGCACAGAGCAGTGCTCCGCAGGCATTCATTCTCTGTGGGTGGGTGGAGGGCGAGGGAAGGCAGACCAGCACGTGCTGGGCAAGGGGTTCAAGTCTGCCTAGGAGTGCAGCATGGGGCACCAGCTTCCACTTGGTGGGGAGCATAGAGTAGAGCTGGGTGGGCAGTTCTGTATGGGGCCGGTGTTTGGGGCAATACAGGCCAGCTAGGGAGGGTCCCTGCTCCAGTACCCACAGCTATGCTTCCGTGGCTGGCCCAGTCTTGCCCATTCTTGGTTCAGGGTCTAGGCAGTTTTGGGTTCCCCCATGTTGCAGGCTGGGGGTGGGACGGGACAGGGTGCCTGGAGCCTGGGGTTTCCAAGGGCCAACTGGGGAGCTTTGAGTGCCCACAGGGGTGGAGAGCAAGCTTGGAGGGCCAGGGCTGAGCCTGTCTTTTGTCCCTCCCCCCAGGAAGCCTGAGAAAGGTGTCCAATACCTCATTGAGCGTGGCTTTGTGCCGGACACACCAGTGGGAGTAGCCCACTTCCTGTTGCAGCGCAAGGGCCTGAGCCGGCAGATGATTGGCGAGTTCCTGGGCAACAGGCAGAAGCAATTCAACCGCGATGTGTTGGAGTAAGTTCTGGGACGGGGTTGGGATCAGTATGGACACGTTCCTGTGACAGACTCCATGGCCTGCCAGCCTTGTCCTGCTCTGGGACACACACTCAGTCCTCCCCTTCACTTTTTCTAGCTTCTAGACACCCCCACACCATTTTACACCTACTTATTCAGGCATACATGTGGGATCCACCCTTGGGCACCCCCCACGTACCCTTGGCACTGCCACTCCTCTTCAGGCAGGCTGAGGTGAGGCAGTGTGTGGGGGTCAGGACCTGGACAGGTGCCCTCTGAAGGAGTAGGGGAGCCGGCCCAGAGAGACTGCGGCACCTCCAAGATGGGCAGCACCACACCCAGATCTCCACCTGCCTCCCTCTCTTGCCCCTCCTGGATGGGAGATCGGGGGTAAGAGTCCAACCCCCATCTCCTCACCCCACAACCCACCAGCCCAGAGAGCTGGTGGCCATAGCACTCAGCTGCTTGGAACCCTGCAGAAAAATGGGTTTCCCGCTTCCTGGGAGCTGCTGGCATTTTTGAGAAGCCTGCCAGTATATGCCCTAAATCTCTCCAGTCCTCCTTGAGACTTTCCAAAGTGGAAAGGCACCTACATTTGCACCCTTGTGTTTATGTCAGGCCATGTCCATATGTCACCCGTGGGGGTGGGTATCAGGGATTGATGACCCCCTTTCAGAGTCAAGGAGCCAAAGCCAGAGGAATGGATGGCTTGGTATGTGGGTTCTGCTCACCCTTTTCTGAGACCTGGAGGATTTTCCCCAGACCTGTTGTTGAGGATTTTTCTGACTCGGGCAGTTACGAACTGGTATGCCGACCTTGGGCAGATAGCCCAGAAGCAGAAATCTAAGCGGAGTAGAGAGCTAACCATCAGTAACAATGGCAGTGGCTTCCTTCTGTCCAGCCCCTGCCTCATCAGGGAAAAGGATAGCGAGGTGCATGGCCTCGGGGTCAGACCCTCTGCAAGGAGGAGGGCCTGGCCACATGTGCACCTGCTGCCTCTGCTGCTCCCCTGGGGGAGGCACATGGGTGCTGTGGACTCTTTAACCACAAGTGAAGAAACTCAGGGTCAGAGGGAGAGGGAGAGGGACTGGCCTGGGTGCATTCCCCCCACCCCCCGCACAGGGCCTCCCATATGCACATAGGTACTTTTTCAGTCACATGCAGACACACACACAAGAGATGCAGTGAGCCAGGGCCTTTGGCTATGGCTGGTATGTGGCCGGTACCTAGCAGAAGGGAGCCTATGCCCTTCCTTGGCCAGGTGTGCCCATCTGGTCTGCTTTCTTCCTGCTCAGCTCAGCATTTCTGTTTTCGCCTCAGTCCCGGAAAGTCTGCCTGCTGCATTGTTAGTGTGGTTAATGCCCACCCTCCCCCCTAAGGTGGTATGAGGAAACCGTTCAGGGGACAGCAGACTGGCGTCCTGGTGAGCTGGGCCTTGGACGTTTTAGTGCAGCTGTCTGCACCCCCTGCCCTCTGGGCCCCGCCCCACACTGGTTCTGGCCGGGAGGAAGCCTGTGTAGTGTTCTCCTGGGTGGGGGAGCAGCAGCGCCCTCGAGACTAGCGAGCCCCCCCCAGCTCCATCCTCCACACCAGCACTGCTAGGGAGCTGGTCAGCAGGTCGTCCCTGGTGGCCCTGCCCTCTGACTTTCCCCACGAAGAGCACTTAGTGCTCAGGGAAGGTTGGGGGCACAGCAGCTTATCCTAAGCCCATCACTCCAGGGGAGGGTGAGCTCTGGGAGTGGAATTAGGTCCCCCATGGCCAAGCCTCTGCAGCCCCAAGGATAGCTATGTCTTTGTTACAGACATGATCTGGACACCAGTTTATGCTGCTTCGATCCTGGGTTTAGACCCACCTTCTCTGTTTAAGGGTCCTGACCAGAGGACAAGAGCAGGCTGTAAGGCGAATGCTTGGCTGTGGTAAGAACTGGAGGCCTCCCCAAGCTCCATTCTCCATCCATCTGATTGGCAGATGAGGATGGTCTCAAAAACACCCAGCCAAACCCAGCCACCTCTCTGCAGACCCTTGCCGGGAGAGGACAGGCTGTGTGAGATCGGCCTCCACTTCCTTCCTGTGAGGATGGGTGCATGCTCCCGCCTCCCTCACGGACACACAGACTCGTACATTACGGCTGCTGAGTGCCTGGGGTAACCCACACACTTGAAAACATTTTTCCTGGGACTAGCTATATGCTCTGGCTTCCTGTATGTCTAGAAAGTTGCACACATAGGTATAAACAGCATTTTCCTGCAGTTTCGGGGCTTTATGGACTCCCCAGAAGCACAGGGATCTTTGGCCATAATCTGAATTGTTTGCTGATTGGTGGAAGCTAAGCAGATGCCCTCCCAGACAAGTGTCAGCGTGTCTGCAGTGGCTCCCGTGCATCAAACCCCTCTGTGCCCTACCCTCTGCAAGCAGGTGCTCACCTCGCCTATGGGAAGCTGGCAGAGGCTGTACAGACAGTGACACGGCCTTGTCTTGTTTCAGCTGCGTGGTGGACGAGATGGACTTCTCTGCCATGGAGCTGGACGAAGCCCTCAGGAAGTTCCAGGCGCACATTCGAGTTCAAGGGGAGGCTCAGAAGGTGGAGCGGCTCATTGAGGCCTTCAGGTTGGGGCTGCGTCAGGGCAGGGGGCAGGTATCGGGGAGAGGAAGTTTCCTAGCTCAAGGGTTGGATCTCCTTAGCCCCATTCCCTCTGCAGTATCAGGTGGCCCTGAGCTCACTGGGGGATAAGGCAGAAGCCCCTCCTGTACTGGTCAGTGCTGGAGCCAGGGTTTTTGAACAGTCTTTGTCTTCCTTCAAGTCCTCATGAGCCTCATCTATTCAGAAGTCCACCTGTGTTTTCCTTTGTGTGCCCTTTTATGGGGCAGCCACTCTCTCACAGTGACTCAGAGCCTGAGCTGCAGAGCCAGAGGGCCTGGTCCTAATGCCCACTCCACCACTTACCAGCTGTGTGGCCTTGTGCTTGCTGGCCTTTCTGTGCCTCACGCCCTTGCCTATAGAGTGGGGACACAAGACCCCCCTACCCGGGCAGGGTGGAAGGCTAAAAGCACCTGGGGTGGGTGGGCACACTTAGCCCAGCACCTAGCACCACAGAGAGCCTGTATTCCAGGTCACTGCCCCGCCTTCCGCCCCGGGACTGTGCACACCATTTGTGTAGGGCCTCTGCTCCTAGCTGGTATGACAGGCCTGAGTCTGCTGCTGCCCCGGCACTTTGCCGCAGCACCAGTGATGGCCAAGGAGGAGCGAGGATATAGGAGGAGGGCAGTCCCAGGGCCTCAGAGGGGGGTGTTCAGCCGCTTCCTCCCAGGAGGGCTTCTTGGAGGGGGTGGCCCTCACAGGGAAGACAGAATTGGAGTCCACGTTGTCTGAGCGTTGATGGCACTGCTTCAGTAACAATGCCCCACCTGGCTCCTCTTCTGTGTTTCTGCCCCTCTCCGTGCTTCCAAGAGGGTACCAGTGAAGGGCCTCTGGTGTGTCAGAGGCAGTGAGGATCGTGGGCAGGTGACTCAGTGAGGCTGCTGAGTCAGGTGCCTTCACAAGCTGCCCCAGCAGCCACAGCTGAAAAGAGAGGGAAGTGTGTCCCCCTCCCAGCTGGTGTGGGGACAGGCTCTTCTTACCTCAGGTCCAACACCCACTCTCACACCCTGTTCCAGGCAGGGCAAGAGAGTGGAGGGCACACCCCTGCCTTTTTTTTTTTTTTTAATTTTTTAAAAATTTTATTGATTTCGGAGAGAGAAAGGGAGAANCTGTGCCCTACCCTCTGCAAGCAGGTGCTCACCTCGCCTATGGGAAGCTGGCAGAGGCTGTACAGACAGTGACACGGCCTTGTCTTGTTTCAGCTGCGTGGTGGACGAGATGGACTTCTCTGCCATGGAGCTGGACGAAGCCCTCAGGAAGTTCCAGGCGCACATTCGAGTTCAAGGGGAGGCTCAGAAGGTGGAGCGGCTCATTGAGGCCTTCAGGTTGGGGCTGCGTCAGGGCAGGGGGCAGGTATCGGGGAGAGGAAGTTTCCTAGCTCAAGGGTTGGATCTCCTTAGCCCCATTCCCTCTGCAGTATCAGGTGGCCCTGAGCTCACTGGGGGATAAGGCAGAAGCCCCTCCTGTACTGGTCAGTGCTGGAGCCAGGGTTTTTGAACAGTCTTTGTCTTCCTTCAAGTCCTCATGAGCCTCATCTATTCAGAAGTCCACCTGTGTTTTCCTTTGTGTGCCCTTTTATGGGGCAGCCACTCTCTCACAGTGACTCAGAGCCTGAGCTGCAGAGCCAGAGGGCCTGGTCCTAATGCCCACTCCACCACTTACCAGCTGTGTGGCCTTGTGCTTGCTGGCCTTTCTGTGCCTCACGCCCTTGCCTATAGAGTGGGGACACAAGACCCCCCTACCCGGGCAGGGTGGAAGGCTAAAAGCACCTGGGGTGGGTGGGCACACTTAGCCCAGCACCTAGCACCACAGAGAGCCTGTATTCCAGGTCACTGCCCCGCCTTCCGCCCCGGGACTGTGCACACCATTTGTGTAGGGCCTCTGCTCCTAGCTGGTATGACAGGCCTGAGTCTGCTGCTGCCCCGGCACTTTGCCGCAGCACCAGTGATGGCCAAGGAGGAGCGAGGATATAGGAGGAGGGCAGTCCCAGGGCCTCAGAGGGGGGTGTTCAGCCGCTTCCTCCCAGGAGGGCTTCTTGGAGGGGGTGGCCCTCACAGGGAAGACAGAATTGGAGTCCACGTTGTCTGAGCGTTGATGGCACTGCTTCAGTAACAATGCCCCACCTGGCTCCTCTTCTGTGTTTCTGCCCCTCTCCGTGCTTCCAAGAGGGTACCAGTGAAGGGCCTCTGGTGTGTCAGAGGCAGTGAGGATCGTGGGCAGGTGACTCAGTGAGGCTGCTGAGTCAGGTGCCTTCACAAGCTGCCCCAGCAGCCACAGCTGAAAAGAGAGGGAAGTGTGTCCCCCTCCCAGCTGGTGTGGGGACAGGCTCTTCTTACCTCAGGTCCAACACCCACTCTCACACCCTGTTCCAGGCAGGGCAAGAGAGTGGAGGGCACACCCCTGCCTTTTTTTTTTTTTTTAATTTTTTAAAAATTTTATTGATTTCGGAGAGAGAAAGGGAGAAGGAGAGAGAGATAGAAACATCAATGATGTGAGAGTCATTGATCGGCTGCCTCCTGCACGACCCTCACTGGGGATCGAGCCTGCATGTGCCCTGGCTGGGAATCAAACCGCCATCTCCTGGATCCTAGGTCAATGCTCAACCTCTGAGCCAGGCTGGCTGGGCTCACCCCTGTCTTTTAAGGCACAGCCCTGAAGGTGCCCATATCCCATTGGCCAGAACTTAATCCTGTGGCTGTACCAGGTCCTAGGAGCCTGGGGAATGTGGTCTTCACCCTGAGAGCCATTGCCAGCTCCAGCACAGGTGAGAAGGGGCAATGGACAGCCAAGGCCAGCTCTCTGCCAGGCAAGTGTTATTCCTGTTCACCAGCTGCAGAAGCCAGGCTCTGAGGGCAGTGTCCAGCCTCCACTGTGTAGCGCCAGGTGGAGCTGTGGCAGACTCAATCCCTGCCTGACTGAGGTGGTCCTCACCCCCCTCCCTCTCCGCACCCCCAGCCAGCGGTACTGCATCTGCAACCCTGGGGTGGTGCGGCAGTTCCGAAACCCAGACACCATCTTCATCCTGGCCTTCGCTATTATCCTGCTCAATACGGACATGTACAGCCCCAACGTCAAGCCCGAGCGCAAGATGAAGCTGGAGGACTTTGTCAAGAATCTCCGAGGTGAGCTGCTCGGCCCCAGGCTCAGATACACAGCCTCCACGGACACCCTCTAAGCATGAGGCCCAGCCCTGTGTGGGGTGAGAGGCGAAGGCAACATAGCCTCATGCTGGGTACAGAGAGAGCACGGGGCCTGGCTCCGGCACACCCAGTTCTTGTTCAGGGGTCTTTGGGCAGTGTTGGTCCCAAAAATGAGTGAACACAGCACAAATTGCCATAAAGAGCGAGTGCCATCCTAGGGGTACACATGGGTAGCACACGCCTGGGTCTGGAGATGCAGGGGTTCTAACTCTGCGAGAAAGTGATGTTTTTAGCTTGTTATTAAAGGGTGAACAGGTGTCCGCAGGTCCAGGGAGAGGGGATTTAGTCACAGGGCAGAGACCTGAGAAACCAGCTCATCACAGCACCAGAGGGCCAGGCCGGACACTGGTTGACCAGGCCTGGTTGGGAGCATGTGTAGGAGCCCAGAATGGAGCCTGGGTGCTGGGATCTCCGAGGCCTCCAACAGGCGTGAGCTGGACAGACGGGCCAGCACATCCACCCCCGTCACTGCTGCACCCCTCCCAGCATCTGCCCAGCCACCCATCCTGTACACTTCATGGTTCTCTTGAAACCAACTTGCCTTTTTTTTTTTTTTTTAAATATCTTTATTGATTTCCGAGAGAGGAAAGGAAAGGGAGAGAGAGAGATTGAAACATCAATGGTGAGAGAGTCATTGATCGAACCCGCAACCCGGGCATGTGCCCTGACTGGGAATCGAACCCCGATCGCTTGGATCCCAGGTCGATGCTCAACCGCTGAGCCACTCCCAGCTGGGCGAACTTGCCTTTTTTTGTCTACTTATTTAAATACATTTTTAAAGGAACTGTATATTACCACTGTGATGGGAAGCCAGTAGCATTTGCCACACATAGGCAGCCATGGAAATGAATACATGGAGAGAAAAGACAGTACTGCTGTTGATTCCAGCACTAGCTGTTTCTGGCTGGGCCCTGAGGCTGAGGCTGCCCTCCCTTCCAGGTGGGCCCATGTTAGACAGGTGCTGTGAGGCAGGCAGCAAGAAGGGAGGCCTTCTTGGCGTGAGATGGGAAAGGAATTAAACGGGAACAGCTGTCCTCCAGCTGACTCCATGTGGCTGATGGCTGGGCCTTGAACACCTGGGGTCCCTGGGCAGCAGGGGGCAGGAACTATGTCCTCTCCTTGGAAATACCAGCTGCAGCACTGAGGTCCCCTTAGAAATGGCATCCTATTTTTATTTTATTCACCTAAAAGTTCTTAATTTATTAATCCTCTAGTGAAAATCTGCCCAGACAGCACAGATAAAGCCCCTGAAGAATCTTCACTGCTCTGTCATCCCACCTCCGGCTCTCTTTGCAGCACCCACACTGGCTTCTGCAGTCCCCTGGCTTTCTCCATTCCGGTCTTGCGTTCCTTTCTGTTTTCTTGAGGCCGTCTTCTCATACAAGTCTGTGTTTGGGTTCATTTCTCTTTGTGTAATCCAAGGAATCATAAATCATGCCAGAGCCAGTTGACTGGCCCCCACCAGAATGAATTCTCAATCCAGACACAAAGATGGCACCTGGTATGGCCTTGTACACTTTGGCTGGTTTTTCTCGAATTCCTGTCTTGGGTACTACTGACTTCCCAGCATGAAGGACGTCAGTGAGCATTTCTTTCCCCGGAACAGTCTGCTGGCCGTAAACTTCCTGTTCCGGATAGTTACTGTGTCGTTCGTGATGACGGCCCATCTTCGAGCAGCCAGGGAAGAGGTGTCATATTTTTTAAAAAGGGGAAAAAAAAGCTGGTCTAAAGTCAAGAGCTGTTTAAAGTTTCTACTGTTGTGTTTACTTTTGTAATAAAGGCTGCTCTGTCAGTCCCGCTGCTGGGTCAGACAATCCTGGGGACCTCTGTGTCCTCCCTGGGATTGGAACTGCCCAGTGCGCCCCCTGGTGGTGGGCACCTCCATAACAGGAAGGCTGGAGAAAGCAGAGGCCACCAGGAGATGGCAGAACCACCCTCTTCCCAAGCTTGGCTGCCCCTGAGGGGCGGGGAGGCTGACTTCAGAGCACTCCCTGCGCAGAGCACTCACAGTGAGGCCCTCTGCTAGGTCTGAAGGGCGTCGCGGGCCCCTCCCCACAGCCTCACCAACAGTTTTATCAGGCCTCTGGACTTGTGCCCCTCTGTGGTCTGAGGATAGGTATGGGTTTATGTTTCTCCTGTGAGTAGGGCTGTTTCTTTTCTGACAGCAATTTTCACAGTGGTATTGCAGAAGGTATGCACTTGTTGTCTTAGCAGTCCGGATTTGAGTCCTGCCCCCGGATTCTGCCCATGTGATGTGGGACAACAGCTGGCAAAACTGCTCAGATGCTCCCAACTCTCACTTTATGGGCACACCACCAGCTGCTCATACTTCCTCACATAGCCCTGAGGAGTCACCTGTGCTCTTGATGGCCGTTTTCACAGATGCCCAGCTCAGAAAGACTGAGTCACAGGCTAACAAGGGTTGAAGGGAGGATTTGGGCCCAGTGTTAGAGCCTGAACTTATAAACCCTGTCAAATAGCCTCCCTCACCCCAACCCAGCACCTTCCCCAGGCCTTGGCTTTCTTGTCTGTGGAATGGGGATGGTGTGCCCAACCCATGGGCTGTGATCAGGATCAGCCTTCTGAGCAGCCCTGCTACGCTTGTCCAGGTGAATGTGCTGGCCTTGTCCCTGGTGGAAGGATTCTGAGGAATTTGTGGTTGACTGAGGATGTTTGGTAGCTGTGGGTGTGGAAGGTATGTGGTTCTGCTGACTGGTGAAAGGGATTGCTGTCTGATTTGGTTTAGAAACTGGTAAATTGGAGTAAGCCTGGGGCTTGAGGCTGAATGGACCACCCAAGCCCTGGCCTGACTGACGCCTCGCCACTGTCTCCTGCCCAGGTGTAGATGATGGCGAGGACATTCCCCGGGAGACACTGATTGGTATCTATGAACGGATCCGCAAGCGGGAACTAAAGACCAATGAAGACCATGTGTCCCAGGTGCAGAAGGTGGAGAAGCTTATCGTGGGGAAGAAGCCGGTATGTGGTGGCCTTGTGTCCCAGGGGAGCTGCTGGAGGGCCTGAGGTGCTCACATCCCCCTTCCCACCCAGGTGCCCTGCCGGCCTCAGCTTCTGCCGGTAGCCCTGATGCACCTTTCAGGCAGGTCTGGAGAATTCTTTCCTGATTTGGGTTTCTTTAAGTGGCTTCTGATGTTTTGGAATAACAACCATTTGCTCTGTGTTACAGTTGAGAACCTGAGGCTTTTAATAAGCCAGCAGGCAGGGTTGTACATTTCTGTGGTGACTTGGGAATGCCCTCAGCCTGCCAGTGAGAGGCACCCCTGCCTCTCCTCTTGGGTGTGGCTGGATAGAGTAAGGGAAGGTGCCTTAGGAGGGCCATTGCCTCTTTGGCAATTGCCTCTAGTTTCCTTGGGCCCCAGATGCATCTTTTGGAACATTGATCTCTTTTTTTTTGTTTACTGTGTTTCCCCATGTAGATTGGATCCCTGCATCATGGGCTTGGCTGTGTGAGTATCTCTCTGCTTTCTCATTCTGGCTAATACCCCACCCTGGGGGTTCCCAGTGTGCCCACATCTCCCTGCTCCCACATCCACAGTTAATTCAAGAGCAATAAAAATTTGATTTTGATAATTAACCCAGCCTCAAATCTCTGCAGGCCCAGAGATCACAGCCTCACGGGGAGGGCTGTGAGGTCAGGCTGAAGGCAGATAGTCCCCTTCCCTCTCACCTGGGCCTGGCTGAGCTCAGATACCCAGGTTTGTTCCCAGACCCTAAGATACTGATTCTGATGTGCATTGGAGGGCCTTTTCTTTCCCCACCCAGCCCAACTCTGTCCCCCAAAACTTGCTCCTACATCAGGATCCTCTCTACGGCCACAGCCTTGCGGAGGTATGCCTGCATGTCCCTTGGGGACATGCACACACTGTCAGCCTGCAGTCCCATGACACGTCCCTCCTGTGTCTGTCCTCACCGCTCATGGTCAGCCGAGTCAGCAGCACAAAACCTTCTGACTGCCTCCCTCTTCCCAGTTTCCCCAGAGAGAGACCAGGACCCCTGGATACTTCCGTGACCTGCCCTCTTCCACCTCTCTAGCCCCACATCCCACCCTCCTCCTTCCTTTGTGCTTTTGCTCCAGAAAACATTGTTCCTGAGTGTGCCCCTTATCTCGTCCTCTGATGGGCTGAGCTCGGGCACCCTCCACCAGGGCACCCTTACAGAGTTGGCACCCTTTGCAGAGTTAATGCTCCCTGGCTGCCACTATGCTTACCCTCTGGGGATCTTACACGGGCGTGTGCTATCTCCTTGCTAACTCCTCTGTCTCCTGCGGGATCTTCGGCACTCCCAGAGCCACTAGCAGGCCTCCATGATGGTTTGGTCAGACCAGACCTAATAGCAGCTTGGCCTGCGGCAAGGTGGGGGCTCTTTAAACCTGTGATAGGTGTGTTCAGAGCAGAGGGTCAGACCAGGCCCCAAAGAGCAGTGAATGCTGGCTCAGGGTTTGGATAGGGCCTTTCAGGCTTCAGAAATGTTGAAATCATTTAGGAGGGGCTGGGGGAGTGGAGCAATTTGGAGGCTCTGAAGCTTCTTGGTTTTGTGGCTGAGGCAACTTGTTCCACCTCTCTGTGCCTCAGTTTCCTCATCTAGAGTAGACTCTAGAAAAACGTTTACAGGGACTAATGGGCACTTTGTGGGGACTCAGAAAACAAGCATTCCTCTCTAGCTGGGGGCTCACATGTGAGCATGGTGCTTTAAGAAGTCTGGTGCCTGTCTGAAAGAATGGAACAGAAGCAGCACACTTACCCAGGTCCCACAGACAGAGCGGGAAAATAGCTACAAGCCAGAAACACCGTGCCTTCTTCATGGTTTGTAAGAAAAGGCATTTTTTGAACACGAGGCCCAAGAGCTGGGTACCTTGCACTCAGGCCAGATTCCTGTGCTGCCCAGGCTCCGAGGTGTGGCCAGCTACTGAGCACAGCATTTCCCTTCCCCTTACAGGTCCTCTCTCTGCCTCACCGGCGGCTGGTCTGTTACTGCCGACTCTTCGAGGTTCCAGACCCAAATAAGCCCCAGAAACTTGGGCTGCACCAGCGAGAAATCTTCCTGTTCAACGACCTCCTGGTGGTACGTGGTTCCCCATGGATTTGTGGCTGACAGCTGCTACATAGGGAGACCTGGCTATGTGCCTGCACGTGGGGAAATACCCACACAGGTGGGGGTGGAGGTGACAGGGTGGAGCCCAGATCTTTGGGTTACCAGGAGCAGAATCTAACACAAACTGCTACTGTTGAAAATGGGGCTTCGTTGACTTATGTGAGTCCAGAGGGGGACTTGGAGCCTCAGCCCTGGCTGCTCCAGAGGCTCAAGCATGTCAGCAGGACTCCTTTTGATGATCCCCATCTCTCAGCTTTGTGGGCTCCTCCTCTTTGTGGGCTCCCTTCTCACGCTAGCCCTAACCAAAATGGGAAAGTCAGCCCCAGCAGCCCCAGGCTATTCGTGTCTCCTTGGCCCCCAGTGGGATTATCTTACTAAGAATCCAGCCAAGGTCTTATTGCTCCCTGTGCCCAAGCCTGAGCTAGTCATGGGGCCAGGCAGGTGTGGTGCTGTCTCAGTGGCTAAAGCTGGGCCACAGACTCCAGGACTAATGACTGAGGGTGGCAGAGAAGGGGGATCCCCAAAGGGAGATGGAGGAGCTCTTGCCCCCCCAAAAGGAGTGTACTGATGTGAGCTGATGGGGATGAAGATGCCTCTGCAGAGAGCAGGAGGAACCTGTTCTTAGACCTTTGTCCCCCCTGCATGCCACAGACTTTCTTGCTAGAGGTCCCCTCCCTAGTCCCCACCTACATGAGGACCAGCTGCACTTCTGTGATTCCTGAGGTGGGAATCACATGTGTGGGTTCAAGTTATTTATTAAGCATCCTGACCTTGACTAAGTCACTTCACACCTCTGAATCTGTTTCCTTTGTGAAATTAATCTCTGAGGATACAGTGATCAGGTAAGGCCCTGGACATCAGACCCTTGCACAGTGTCTTCAGTGCCACATGAGGTAACATGCCTGCCACCTCTCTGCTGGGTTGAGGGGCTTTGTTGCCGACCAGGATGGCACCGAGGTCTCCCAGGAACAGAGCACAGTGTCCACGTCAGAGCGTGGTTGGCATGATCAGTGTGTGCTCCTCCCCGGGTTGGTTCTCCCTCCTGCAGCAGCCCCTGACTTCTGAGCTGCAGAGTAATTCTTACAGGAGCACATGTTGCCATCAGTCCATCTTCAGTCCTGAACTCCAGAGCTGTTCAGGACCGGGCAGATGAAGTGGCTCAGCTTCTGTCTCTCTCTCTCCCAGGTCACCAAGATCTTCCAGAAGAAGAAGAACTCAGTGACATACAACTTCCGACAGTCCTTCTCCCTGTGCGGCATGCAGGTCCTGCTCTTCGAGAGCCAGTGTAAGTCTGCGCTGGGCTACCCTCGGCTGGGGCCCTGAGCACGAGCGGCTGGGACCCACCCTCCGCTTCTGTCCTCCCTCCTTCCTTCTGCACCATCAGGGACGGAAGCCCAGGGTAGCTCTCCAATGCTCTCTGATAAGCAGTAGTAATCAGGAAGAATTTAATAACATCGTATGTGGTGCTTTCTAGGTTTATTTTTACTATTACTTCTGGCAGGTGATAAGAATATTTAGGGCAGAGTAAATTTTTTTAAATAAAATGCTGATAAGACAGCATGAAGCAAATGGCACGGATGATATGCAGATGTGGGCAGACAAACAGGTGAAGGTGACACGGGCCGTACAGGTCCGGGGCTGGGCCCAGAGCCAGCCACCAGGCTCCAGTCCCAGTTCTCATGGTAAGCGCTATGTAGCCTGTCTCTTAACCTCTTGGGGCTGCGTTTCCTTTGTCTGTAAAATGGGGTGATGCCAATGTCTACATCGTTGGATTAGATACACATAAAGCACTCCTGGCACAGAGGAAATGTGTGGTCAGGATTTATTCTTAAGTACAGTTGGAAGACCTTTGGTTGGAAGTGGGTCACAGAAGCCTGGGGATTGGAGGGTAGCTGGCTTCCAACCAGGAAACCCCCACTGGCTTTATCTTTTGACGCTGTTCCTGCTCACGTCCTTGTACCCTTCCTCTCTTCCTGTTGGAGGTCCAAGCTGCAGGCTAGACCAACCTTCCTGAGATGGTGGGTGGTGGTTCTGCCGCCCCGTGTGTTCTGGAGTTGCCTGGGGGAGGACTGTCCTGATGGAGCACCATGGTGTCTCCAGCAGCAGGGACGCCTCAGCCTGTCAAGCAGGCTGCTGTGATGCTGTCTGTTCGGCCTTCCATCTGCAAGTGGAAAGTGTCAGGGCCTGGATTTGGGGCTCTTTGCCTCTGCTTTTTTTGTAGTTTGGAACAGATTGTTGTTTTTTAATGTTTTTATTGATTTCAGAGAGAGAAAGAGAGAGAGAGAGAAACATCAGTGATAAGGGAGTTATTGATCTTCTGCCTCCTGCAAGTCCCCCACTGGGGGTCAAACCTACAACCAGAGCATGTGCCCTGACCGGGAATCAAACTGTGATTCCTGGTTCATGGGTCAGCCCTCAACCCTTGATCCACACGGGCTGGGCCCTTTGCCTCTTCTTTATCCTAAATGTCTGCCCCACCCAAGGCCAAAAGGCCTGCCTTGCTTCAGTTTCCACCTGGCAGCACCAGGCAGGCTGGTGTCCCCCACACCAGCAGCAGCCTGGCCAGACTGAGTTCCAGACAGAAGCTGTGCCTGGATCAGTTTTAGACTCCGAGGGCTCGCCCCCATGGTCATGGACACAGATGCTAGTGAGAACTGACCTCACATTCCTACAGGCTGTGCCTTCACACTAGGGTTCACATACTGTCAGGCCCTGGGTCGATCTGGCTCAGTTATGTTATATTTAGTTTGTATACTTTTAAAAATTTGTTGAGCTGATATTTAAATCCTCACATTAATATTTTTGGCTTCTGAAAAATGAGAAGTGTTGGGCATCCCTGCCCTCATCCCTGCATGGTGGGGTCCTGGCTGTACTGTCCACCCCATGCCCTTGGCTGCTCACAGACCCACCTGCACCAGGAGACTCACTTGCACTTCTAAGCATTTGAGTTTTCAGCCTTGACATGGGTCAAAGGTGGGTTGGTGTTTGAGTCACGATCCTTCAAACTCCCAGTGGCTGAAGCTCGATTCCCAGAGGGGAGAGGTGCTGCCAGGAGACCAAAGCCCCAAAGGCCCCTTGAGCTCAGAAGTGGTACCAGGCAGGTCTGAGCAGAAAGACACTGCACTCAACATAGAGTGTGTTGACTGTGGGGCACCCACAGTGGACCCCAGCATTGCTGAGGGTCTGGAGGCCATTTGGGAGAGAAGAGAGCTCAGTCTCCTCTTAGAACTATCTAAAATGACAGGTAAGACTCCACCAAGCACAGGATGCCACTTCTCCTCTTGACTCAGCTCATGGCTGCTGTCTCTAACCCCAGGCAGAGTGGAAATGAAGGGTCTGGGTGCCTTGACATTCAGGTTGGAGAGGTTCTCCTCAGAGCAACCAGGTCTGAGCCAGGTCTGACTTACATATGAAGGAGCACAGACCTGAGATGGCAGATGGAGGTTGTCTGGTGGCCCCTCCAGTCTGCACTATGGAAGCGTTTCCTCACCCTCAGACGTGCCTGCTGAGAGCCTGCATTCTGATAATTTCTGTCACGCCCATCCCATACTGGTATCTTCCTGACCAGAAGCACAAGGGCAGAGAACGCAGGGCCCACTGGTTCTCCACTCCTCTCCTTTGCAGACTACCCCAATGGCATCCGGCTCACGTCTGCAGTCCCTGGAGCAGACGTGAAGGTGTTAATAAACTTCAATGCTCCCAACCCTCAAGACCGAAAGAAATTCAGTGATGACCTGCGGGAGTCCATTGCAGAGGTGCAGGAGATGGAGAAGCACCGGATAGAGTGTAAGTCGCAGGCCTCCCGGGGAGAAGCCAGCGGCCCGGCGACTCTGAGCCCACAGAAATGAGGTGCCCTGGTCTTTTCTGTCCATGTGACTGGCAGACCACTTGCCCCAGCCACAGAAGATGACACAGAGGGAGGGGGGTGGCAGAGGCCTCCTGATGAGAGCCAGGGCTTCAGAGGCCCAGCTGGAGGCCCTTTGATTCCTGGTCACTCCATGGGACAAGAACTCCCAGAGTTCTGGAGCTGAGCTCTTTGTACTTCAACGTGGTTTTATATTCCCTGGCAGACTGATGAGGTCACGGCCACACCCATCACCTGGGTTCTGTTAGAGCTGATGATAACCCCTGCTTCTCTGGGCTCCAAGCCTCACCACCTGGAGGGTCAGGTGTGCCTACCTCTGGCCCTTCCATGAGAGGCAGGTTGACACCTGCTCATCTCCAGACCCAGCGTCTCTGTCTCCCTGGGACCCTCATGCCTGGGAGTGGCTGCCATTCTGTGGACCACACTGCACGCTGCCCTCTCCCACCACCTCCCTTTCGGGATCTCGTTTGGGCTCCCTTATCCTGAAGGTAGCCATCACACCTCTCTCCCAAGACGATGCTCACCCTTCCTTTTTCCCCAGTTTGGGTAGATGGAGACTTGGTACAGTGCCAGCTCTGAACCGAGGGTGGTCCTCTTCATCTCCTCCTGGGGGGTCCTAGCTCTGCCCCACCCCACCCTTCCCTCTCCAGGCTATGCTCCACTTACTGGGCCCTTGCTCCTCCCTTGCAGCGGAGCTCGAGAAACAGAAGGGTGTCGTGCGGCCCAGCATGTCCCAGTGCTCCAGCCTCAAAAAGGAGCCGGGCAGTGGAACTCTGAGCCGGGCCTGCCTGGACGACAGCTACGCTGGCAGCGAGGGCCTCAAGCGCAGTGCCCTCAGCAGCTCCCTGAGGGACCTGTCGGAAGCTGGTAAGAGCTGAGCCTGGGTCTCAGACAGGCACCCCCGTGGTTGGGACATGCATTGCGGGCTGGGAAGGTGATGCAGGTGGCTGACGGTGCAGGGCTTGTACCGAGCCCTGCTGGGTTTTCCTTGACAGTCCCCAAATCATAGCAGCACATGCTCATGCAGAGAAGACATCACCAAAAGGCCAAAGAAAACAGGACCAAATTGTCAGAGGCAGAACAGCAAGGCAGTTATCACCTCCACTCTCCCTTTCTTCTTCCAGGGGTTTTATTTGTTCTTTATTTTCTGAAAAGCACTCTCACAAGTGAGCCAGGCCTGCTGGTGGGTGTGCCCTGCACTCTCTTGCCACACCCTGCGCTTTATGCTGATGAATGAGACGGAGTAAAGCTCTCTAAGCTGTGTCTGAAACTCTTCTCCCGCTATCCCTGTCTTGCTTTCTCCCCAGAGGCCTCCCTTCTGGCCTCTGTCCAGCCCAGAATCGGCAGCCACAACTGGCCCTAGGACTCAGGAAAGCCCTGGTGGAAACTGTGATTTTTATTGTTCTTTGTTTCTGTGTGTTTAATTTGCTGCCAGCCTGTTAACCCCCAAGCAAGCAGCACCCCTCAAGCCTCCCAGCTTTCCTGGGGCACAGATTGGGGGAAAGCTGTGCCTGGGTATCAGGGAGCAAGGAGCTTCCCCTGCCAGCCCTCACAGGACCAAGCCCTCGTGGCTGGGCAGGTGAAGGAGGGAGGTGTGGGAGCAGACCTAAGCTAAGTGCCTGTGAGTGCTGTTCCAGCCTGCTTTGCCTGCTGCACTGTCAGAGGAGCTGTGGAGTGAGGGGTGCACCCTGGCAGTGTCCTCGGCCCCCTACTCGTCATGTCTAGCCAGTCAGCTTCTCCTGGGAGGAGGCTCGGGGTCTGCAGGGCATGGGGGTTGCCAGGCATTGCACAGGGGGCAGGGGGCTGTGCCCAGCACTTTAGGCTCCTGGACCCTGGCGCCTATGTGCCCTGAGGCTCCAGGTATCCTGGCCCCAGGGGCCCCTGCTTTGTTGGGGGAGATCCTCTCAGGCTGAGATAAGCCGCCGCTTCTCCAGGGACCCAGCGGCCCCTCCTTTCTTAGGGATTCACCCATCCCACCCTGCCTCAGGCATCACCGAGTGGCCAGCTCCAGGTCCCACTACGAGAGCCAGCTCATGACCCCATCTGGTACCTGCCTCGCCAGCAGCTCTGTCTCCCTTTGTTTGGCTTATTTATTTCCCAGAAATTTTTTTCTTTTTTCTTTTTCTTCTTCTTCTTTTTTGAGTTGGATTTTTCCTTTGCTTTTGTCTTGTCATTTTTTTCCCTCCATAGTGAAAATCAGAAATCCATTGCCAGCATGAGGGTTAACCCAGGGCTTCTCAATGGCAGCCTTGTTGACATTTTGTGCCTGATAATCTTTGGCTGTGGGGACATTTCTGTGCAAGAGGTCAGCAGCATCCCTGGCTCCACCTCTCAGCCATGACAGTCAGTAATGTCTCCAAAAATTGCCAGGTGTGCTCTAGGGGGCAAAATCACCCTTGGCTGAGAACCACTGGTTTTCCCTGTGACTTCTTAAAACCAGCAACACACACCTGGACTCCTGTGGGCCTCTGCAGGTGGGATCTGGGGCCTGTGTTTGCATTTGTGCAGTGGAGTGGGCTCTGGCCTCTGCCCAGCCCCCTCAGGCAGCAAAGCCTCTGGGGGACTGAGGCTCTCCATCCGCAGATGTCCACTCTGCCGGAGCTGAGAGCTCAGGTGTCAGGCAGAGCCCATGCCCAGGCACATGGCCATGTGAGGGTCAGAGTTCCAAGGTTTGGCCAATTTCCATCTATTGTTACTGTTGCCGCCACCATTTAGGGATTCTGAGCTGAGAAGGACTCTAGGGATTGTGTATTCTCAGGGATAAAGCTACAATGAAACAAGTTCCCAGGAAAGAAAGCCCCCAGACCCCAGGAAGGTTGGAGGTGGGTGTTTGAGTCCTGGCAGTCCCCAAGACCCCAGACTGGGGACTGGCCACCTGTGACTTCAGAGGGAGACAGGCCAGCATCAGCAGCCTTCCAGCAGCTGGATACATGGCATAAGGTGCTCTGGACCAGGGTGGAGCATAGCTCTCAGAGTCAGCATCACTCCCACCCATTGTGGCTTCACCAAGATGACCTCTCCAAGAAGAGGCAAGGCCCCCACAGTCTGTCACCTCAGGAAAGCCAACACTCAGTGGTTGGCAGGTCACCGCTCTCAGAGAAGCTGCCCCAGACCTGCGCTCACACCTCTATCCAGGAGGCAGCTCACCAAGAATGTGGCCTCAGCCCTTCATGAACCTTGAAGACCCATGAGGCAGTCATGGTTTGATGTCCATGATTGGCAGCAGATGCCTCCAGGGACCCCTGACATTCTGAGAGCTAGAGGAAGGGGCCTGGCTCTAGCCCAAGCTCTCCACTGAGCTGTGAGGCCTCACCCCATGTCCCTCCCTCTGGTGGGGCCCTGCACTTGTTTCAGTGGCACCAGAGTCCTGCCGACCTATGATCAAGGACTGTCTAGGACCATGGACACAGTGTAACTGGGCCTTAGCCCCTACCCCAGTTCATTCAAGTCCTTGTAGACACTTTCTGAGGGCCCTGCAGTCCTTCTCTGTCCCAGCCAAGCTGCTCCACATCAGTTCCCACGGGGATACAGGGCCTGCCTGCACCTGTCACCACTCCAGGCTTGGAGCTGGGCCTGCTGTGTCCTGCACCAGGGCAGCCCTGTCTGGGGAGACTTGGTGGTTCCTGTGGCCAGTTTCCAGAGCAGCACCTGCTGCCCCAAGATGGGCACTCTGCATACAGACAGCCTGTGGCTGCCTCTCCTGGGACAGGCCATGCTCAGGGATGCGCTTGGGATGGCCACCCCAGCAGAGCCCAGCAGAGGACACACAGCACACTGATCTCAGAACCATACTGATAAGATCTCTCCCTCTGCCTGCTGCTCATTAGCTATCAGGCCTTGGCCAAGTTATAGCTCTCTGCCTGTTTCCCTAGCTGCAAGGTCTCTGAGAGAGTTGGCATATGCCCAGTGTTCAGAACAGGGCCTGGCCCAGGGTGTGTGGCTGTTGTCCCTGAGCAGGTGCACCTGTTTGGCCTCCAGAATTGCTAAGGGCCACCGGGCAGACCCTAGGCAGAGAGCCCTGCTTACAGTCTGTCCTGACGCGAACAGGCAGGGGAAGGCCCTGAAGAGCCACTCTGGGAGCCGCTTCCAGACGTGATTTCTGATCAGGCCCTAGGAGAGGTGCTGGCTGGGGCGGGACTCACCTGAAGCTAGTGCAGGATCCAGAGAAAAGGGGCAGGTTCCCTAGAAAGAGTGCAGATGAGGGGTAGTGTAGGGGAGTGGGGGTAAGCCACTGTTTGGCATGCTTTCCTCTGTTATGGACAGTGTGTGCAGTGTGCACCCATCTGGGCACGGATGTGAAGCAGGCAGTGTCTGTGGCAGTGCCTGTGAGAGGGGCTCTGGGATGAGGGCAGAGAGCTCCTGTAGGGACACCTCCATCTCATGTTGATCCAGAAGTGGAAATGACTTCTAAGACACTTAACATTACTTAAGTTAAAGCTCTCCTGAGTCCTGGCCCTCACCGGGCAGGAAGAGGAGGGCCTTGAGAAGGTTACTCCCCTTCTCACACCAGCTGGAAGGTGAGGAAATGTGGCCCTCATCTTTCTTCTGGCTGGGATTAAGAGTTTTCCCTGGTCCTCAGTAACTGGTAGAAAACTCTCTTGCCTTATCCATTGTGTGGCCCTGTCCTGAGTGGGCTCTGAGGCCCTTTCACACTTGCCAAAGTCCAGCAAGGCCTTCTATGGACCTCAGGCTCCCAGTTGGAACTTAGGCTGGGGAAGGGAGGGGTCAGCAGGCAAGGCAAAAGGACTGGACCTCCCCTGAGCCTGCCCAGGAGTGAGGCCTTTTCCTGGGCATGGCCCAGCATGGTCAGGTGCTACCCTGAGGCCCAGAGGACCCACAGGCAACCCCCTTTCACAGAGGTATGGGCCACAGAGAGGCACATGGCAGTTTCCATCTTCCAGGCTCCTGGGCCTGGTCTGGGCCTGGGTCCAGCTCAGCATGGCCAAGATTTCCAGCCTCAGATGGACAGGCAGACCTGGGAGTGAACCCTGCTCACTATGGAAATTGAGCTGGCCAGGCCATTGATCAGAACCTGTTTCCTACTCTTTGGCGTGGACAGAGGGCCACCTGTCCTGCATCATTGTGAAACTTGACCAAGAACCAGCATGGTGCTCACCCCTGGCCAGGCTGCATGGACAGCATCCTAGAGAACATGGAGGGGAGGCTGCATTCCCAGAGACCTGATGGAGGCTGGACCCCTCGGCTTGGGCACCATTGTTCCCCCTGGCCTGGATGTCCTGCCAGAATCCATGACGAAGTCCTCTGGAAGGACTGTGGAGGCCAGGATGGGCACTGGGCATCCACAGCCAAGAGGAAAACTCAGCCTTCCTCTACTATGGCTAACATACTGTGTGCTCGTGCGCCATGAGCTGGGGATGTAAAACGGCATTGGCAGTGAGCCCCGAAGGAATGCTTGCGGCATCCTGAGGGGGGTGCCCACAGAGGGGAGCAGGACTCCAGGCCCCTCCTAGCAGCCCCCGACCTTCCTCCTGTCCCTGGCCAGGGCTCTGCACAAACCAGACACTTGGCCCCAGAGGCTCCAAGAGGAAAAGGACTTGAAGTCCCGTTTTCCCTGACCGTGGTCCCCACCCTGCCTGGAGGTGTGTGCATGTATGTGCAGGTCCATACCATACATGCCTGAAACCCACTGAGAGCCAGGCCCTGGGCAGGACCACGTCTCGTTTGTGTCAGTCATTGCAGAAGCTTTCTTCAGCAGCCGCTGTGGCCAACTTGCACATGGGACTTTGGGCCCCACCTGTGTGCCCGCCTCAGCTTGCCTGGAGGCCCCTCCCCATAGACTGCCAGTCCAGGAGAGGAGCTGGTTGAAAATAATTTTATTTTTATTTTTTTAATCCCGTAGTTTTTTTTTATTAACTAGTTACTGCCCTGCCACCAGCTTCCCCACTGAGCCCCTCCCCCTGCCCTCACACCCAGCAGGTGGGCCGGGTACCTGAGCCTGGTGGTGGTGGCGGCATCCTGCTGCCCGTCTGAGTCTAACCTCTGGTATTGCATGTTCTGGGCAGGGAAGCGAGGGCGGCGCAGCAGTGCGGGATCGCTAGAGAGCAATGTGGAAGTAAGTAGGAAGCTCCTCCGTTCAGCCGGCTGTCGTGTGTTGCCTCCCTGATCCTTGGTTTATACCTGTTGTCTTTTTATTTTTTTATTTTTTTGCGCTTTCACTACTGCAGAGGCGCAGACCCCGTCCCGCCTGCCTCAGCCCCCACCCCGGTGCATGCAGCTTCCCCTCTGCTAGAATCTCACCGCTTGTTTGGGCTGCAGCCAGGGGGTGGGAGGCTGGTTCTGGATTGTGTGTTTTAGTTCCCACTTCACCCTTGTCCTCTGTGACCCCAGCATGGTTCATTAACATCCCTGGCTCCTGGCGCTCCCCCTACCCC